GTTTCTGCCTACCCCCACTTTGAGCTTTCCTGAGTCAGGGAACATCACTGCCGGGACCTCTCCCTGATGGAGCGGGCAAGTGAAATAGCTTCCGTACCTAGCCTCCCCTGGTGTACTGTTGGATGGATAGGAGCTGGTTGTTGTTTGGACAGGCCCAGGGGTCTGTTAGTGAAGACTGTTAGTGCTGCAGATCGGGGGTGTAGCTACAATCCAAAGGTCTGCTAGAGAATGGGTGATGAGGTGGAGGTCCCATTGTACTTTCAGGATTTTCTTGGCTAGGATTTTGGGTGAGGGAATAGTTATGTGTTAAAGACACATTCCTCCTTATGGTCTTAAGGAGCAATAACATCTTGTAAATACCAGTGACCCTGGCTGTTCTGTCGCAGTCATCAGGCTGTTGCTGAGACAGAATTGCCAGCTCTGTAAACAAGTGGGGGTTATATTCTTGGGGGAGCTGTGATGCTGACAGTAGTGGGCCTGCTGACCCTCTCTCTGGCTCCTGGAGGTGCCCCTCTGTTTGGCACCTGCCTGAAATATATGCACCAGGTTTGAGTACTCTAATCTAGGGCCTTACAGAAATCTGGGCATTAAAGATCAAGATCCCTCAGAAGATTTTTAACTGGGAATTTTGCAGAATTTTGACTACCTGCATGGGTCACTGCATACACTGAGCTTCAATGCTGAGGAGCTAGGAAATGCACCTCTTAAAACATCTGAGTATTAATATCCCCTATGGATTAATTGGGATGGAATTGGACTGTAAAGCAAAGATATCCCCAGAAAACCGCTCAGTAGGCCCCAGGCTGTGTTGGCAACATGATTGATGGAGGGCTCTTTTTATAGTGTTTCATTCCCATGCCAGGGGGAACTGCGGTTACATGAGATCTGTTCTTTCTCTCTCCTCATCTAGTTTCCTGTCTTGCCCAAGGCTCGCTGAGTAGTTAATGCAGAAGATAAAGAGGGTTCGTCTGGAAAACGAGACTGCAGGAAGTTGGAGAAGGTAAATTTCCTGGTCTCTGTCAGGGTCTTTGTGGCCTTTGGGACCAAGTGGTCAGAGGGCTACAATCAACATTCTGAATGAGTGATAAACCATCACCTGTTAATTCTGCCCATTACATCCTGTGTCCAACTGTATCCAGAGTGCCTGAAATGCTTGAGGAAAATTACCTCTTTTCTACTGAATTTAGGTTCCAGGCTTTAAAAGGTCTTTGTCTGCATTTTTCTACTCTAATGCTCCTTGCTCCCCTACCTTTGCTGTTTCTCTTCAGCCTAACTTTATTAAATTTCCCCTCTCCCCAAAACCTGCAGCCACATAACCTTGTCAGATGTGGCAGACTAAGCAAGATGGTAAAACAGTATATTTGGACTTCTTCAGATTCTTTTGTGATGTGGTTGAGGAATACTGAATGTAGGATTAAAGGCTGACTGCTCCGTTTCTGCTGAGATCATCTTGGATCTTGGGCCATGTCTATGCTGCAGAGTCTAGAGCAGCATCTCTGGTGCCGTAGCTGTGCCAGTTTAACCCCATTGTGTAGACGCACTCTGCAGCGATGGAAGGGTTTTTTCTGTTGCTGTGGGAAAACCATCTCCCTGAGTGACTGTAGCTAGGTCAACAGTAGCATTCTTCCCTTGACCTAGCTGCATCTACACCAGGGGTTAGGTCTGCATAGCTGTGGTGCTCAGGAGTGTGGATTTTTCTCACCCCGAGTGCTGTAGCTATGTCAACCTAAATTTTAAGTGTAGACCAGGTCTCAATCACAGTGTGTTCTACAGACAAAATTCATCAGGGAGGGGGATAACCCCAGGATCTTTTGGAGTGCCTTTTTCTACCATCTAATTGTTAGCAGTGGGGTTAGTCACTGTGGAGTAGGTGGTTGCAAGTATGTATAATCTGGGTGTGAATGGACTGTCCTGAATTTAGGTCATTGAAACCTGATCTGGCCTTGAAAGCCCTTCTTGTGAGGAGCAGTGTTGTTTGAATGATCACGTCACTAACCTTGAAGAGGCTTCACCAACTGGATGGGAATTAGCTGTAGGGTGGAATGTATACAGTTGCATGAAAGCTATTTTGTTTTACCAGCTGAGTGGACTTTTAAGATCCAAGCTGCAGTGGGATTTGGGAAGAGAGAGGCGTGTTCCCCAAATCACTGCTCTATCCTTTTTTATATCCTTGTGTTCTCTGTGACATATTTTTGATAGGCAGCAGTTTGCCTTGAAACACAGTATTAGTTGCTTTGAAGGGGAAGGACATTAGACTGAATTTAATGCCCCCTGTATGGTCCTGGGTGCACACTGGAGAGACTCAGGACCATTGATGCTCTGCAAAGTCTTGGGAGAAAGTTCCTCAAAGCTTGTTCCAATGTTTCATCACGTTGTCTGCTGTCTCTGCCACTTTGGCTTTACTTGTGCTGCCTGCCGTGGTCTGATTGGAAAGTACTTTTCTTTGTTTAATTTTCAAGTTGTGATTTGTTTTGTTGTTTGGCTTCAGGGTCATAGATATTAGGAGTAGTGGGGGGAGGTTTATTTTGAGAGCCCCTTTCTGTAGCTTCCACATTGTATTCTCTGCACCACTGAGAGACTCAGGAATTGGAAGCTGCCATTATACTCTGTAGCTGTAACTTAAGGGAGTCAAGCTGTATTTTAGTTCAGGTTTTCTGGCCTGGTGTACTGTGGTGTGGTCTGCTGGTTATGCAAAGCCCACTCCATTCACTGGGTCTCAGGCAGCAGATTCTGTGTGTGGTTTGGATTGCTACTTGGCTAATCTCAGGTTAGTCTCTCAGAATGAAGTCGGGAAAGTAACAGATTGGAGGAGGAACTGTAAAGACTTTCCTTTTCCCTCTTGGTTAAAGGAAAAGAGGTTTGTGTTTTTGACATCACGAGGTATTTATTCATTAAGAGGGAAATCAAGTTGTCCTTGTGCTTGAACATTGAAAGGCATAATTTTGTAGTACAGAATACATGTCTATGGACAGTCAAATGAGATCAAGATGTAGGGAAGGAAACTTTATTCTTAAAAGGCTATTGGAAGGTTGTGGGGAGTCCCCTAGGAGTGCTGAGAGATTTCCTGGCAGAATCATTTGTGAGATAAAGTGGATTGAGATGAAATGATCTGATCTAACACTGGTTTATAAATTAACCACCCTCCCCCAACTCCCGCCAGAACCAAAGTGGGAGAGGGCCTGCGTGGCGCTGAAGCTGCACTTTCAGAGATTTGGTATATATTTCATGCAAATTAAATACTCAAGTCTGACAGGCACATGGTCGGATGTCCTCCGTTCAGAATGCAGACAAATCTCTTAAGGGGCAAGCTGCATTCACTCACTTAAGAAATGTGACTTTAAAATGGAAGTCTTGGTTAACTCAGGGCGGTTTAGAACAGGGGTCTCTCTCTCTCGCTCTCTTTTTTTTTTTTTGTAAACTCCTATAGACTTATTTACTACATTGTTAGATTGCTGCAGCCTCTAAGATGGTGATTTTGTCAAGGTGATGAGACTGCTCTGGTTTCATTTATTTTCCAGCACACTGAAATCTTCAGATACCCACGAATAGCTAAATGTCCCAGAGTAGGAGCCTTGACCCCATAAGATGACCATGAAGAAAGATGGTCCAGCCATTAGGATGTTAGCCTGAGACCATGAAGAAAGATGGTCCAGCGTTTAGGGTGTCAATTCCCTGCTCCAGCACAGGTTTCCCTCAGTGCGTCAATTCCCATTTGTAAAGAAGCACTTGCTAACAGCATTGGCCTACCTCACGTGGTGCTGTGAGGCTAAATGCATGCAAGATTGAGGTGCTCAGATGCCATGTTAATAGGTAGGAATAGGAAATAATAAAGGGACTAGTGCTGTGGTGACTTGAGGGTGCCATTACAGAAATGTCACTTTTTTTAAAGAAGAAAACGAGTCTTGCAAATTAGCTTGCTACTGGTTACCTGGGTCTATGCTCCCTGGGCCCCAGTTCCACTGAGAATAAGGTCCCTACTCTGACTTGTGAGCCCTTGCCTCATCTGGAATAAGGTTGATCAAGGGTAGTGTATCCTGCTTCATATACAAATGTTGGACTGTGCAGATCCCAGAAGTGACTAATGGCTGGAGGGGCTGGACTGGAAGGTTTTATGACTGTGGGAGTTGGGTTGTGGGTTTTATATAATGTGATACTTTGGAAATCAATGAGGGATTCCTGCTGATTATACAATAAGAGTCCAAGATATGCATTATTCCTGTGCCACTTACCATTAGCCAACTCAGTTGCACTGGTATCTTATTTTGTCATTTGTGCCACTTCACTCCTGGTTGCAGCAGCACTTCAAGTAAGTCAGGTGTCATGCCTTCGCTAAACTTATTTGAGTTGTGTATCTGATCTCTCTGCAGGACAGGAAGGGGACTTTACGCAGGTCAGAAGTTTCTCTGTGTGCTCACCCATACATTGATGGTATCTTCCAATCAGGGCCTATCCCATCTCAATGCCTGGAGTATGTTTCACTTAGGTCAAATGATTAAGCACTTGCTACACCAGATGTTTTCCTGCCCTGACTGATTTAACAGTTGACTTTTTTTCTGGAAGAAGTCCTGCAAATGAGTCTTGGGCTCAGTTAGCATCCTTTACCAAGTTGGGTGTGGGAGATGGAGTATTCCTTTCCATCTGGTACTGTTTATGTTTAACTGAGCTCCCTGTGAGCGGATGGAATGTGCCTCATCCGATCCCCCACATTAATTCATCTCCTGCACCTTCTTTCTCAGTTTCTTGACCAGTTCCGAGGAGGAAGAGAGGATGACTGCAGTGGATGCGCTGTCAGACAACACTGAAGTGGTTGAGATGGAGGACGTGCCTTCCCAGTTCCTGGTGGAGAAGCATTCGTGGGATGGGCTGCGTGACATTATTCACAGCAGCAGGAAGTATTCAGGCATGATAGTGAACAAGGCGCCCCATGATTTCCAATTTGTCCAGAAAACAGAAGAGTCCAGCCCACATTCTCATCGCCTTTACTATCTGGGTAAGCCTTGCTTCAGCTAGCCACCTTCCTTAGCAGGTTACCTCGATAGTCCCTTGGCAGAGTCAAACCTGTCTCTGTGTCCGCAGGGTAAGCTTTGTTGGCTGATGTCTTCATTCAGCAGCCCAGTGCCAGAGAGGAAGGGGAAAAGAAAGGATGGTCTTGTGGTTAAAGCACTGGATTGGGACTCGGAAGATATGGGTTCAGTTCCTGGCTTTGGTGTAGGCTTCTTGTACGATCTTGGGCTAGTCACTTAATCTCTCCATGCCTCAGTTCCCCCAGTGTTAAATGGAGATAAGCCTGCCTCTCTCCTACCCTTTGTTTAGACTGGACACTCTTCAGGGCAAGGACTATCTGACCATTTACCTATAGTGGCTGACCCAAACAGGGCCCCAGCTGGGGACCTCTGGGTGCTGCTGCTTCTCCATTTCTCATGTGGACTTGGTTTGGTCAGTTCTCCGATCTATGGAGCATTTCCTCAAAAAAATGGGGATAATTGGTTCTTTAAGCAGGTTGGCTATCTAGGGACCTGAGGACTCTCCCTGTGGTTCTTGTATCCTTGCAAGCCGAGTGCAGTTCATTGATTGGCTAGGTGATATCAGGTTTTTTTCATAGAGACAGCCCATCAGTCAGCCTTGTTGCTATTTTCCCCAATAAACTGGAAGAGTCTTACCTCGGTGTGGGTGTTGAGGATAAATCAGTGTTTATAAACGCTTTGACAAGAGGAAAAATAACTAGATAAGTGTTGGGTATTAATGATGTTTCCTAGAGAAATATTCTCTTCCTTACCGGAGACTTGAGAGAAGGCAGATTTTTGTGCTGTACCAGTTTATAGTTATAGGCAGAACCATGATGTAACTAATAAGCAACAGCTAAATACAGTGGCTGGATTTTATAAGGGCTGGGTAATTTTATGGTCAGTAATAATTAGTTTTACAGGCTGTGAAAGAGAAATATTTCATGTTCCAGGGCAAAAGCTAATCGTTACAGGGCTCAGTAAAGAACTTTCTCCATGTGTGACACTCCACACAACTGACCATGTTTTCCTGCAGTGGCCCCATTTTCCTTTGAAGCCTTGGATGCTGGATTTGATGAACCAATGGTATGACCCATTCTGGTAACTCTTGTGTGCCTGTGACTGTTACTTATTATAGTCCTCAGTACATTTTCATAGAGAAATTAATGGAACGGGCACCCTGCAAACAAGTTAAACAGATGTGTTAAGAGGGGGGAAAAAAGCATCTGGGCTCTTAGAGAGAGAGAGCATGGACAATAATGGCTCTTCATTAATTAAGTTTGTCCATATGTCAGAGCAGAATAGACCCGTTAGACCCCTTTGGTGCGGGTTCTTTGGCTACCTTTTGTCACTTACACCAGATATTTTAAGTACAGTAGAACCCCAGAGTTATGAACACAAGAGTTACAAACTGACCGGTCAACCACACACCTCATTTGGAACTGGAAGTACGCAATCAGGCAGCAGTAGAGATGGGGGAAAAAAAGAGCAAATACAGCACAGTACTGTGTTAAACGTTAACTACTTTAAAAAAAAAAAGGGGGGGGGAGTTTGCATTTTTTTGACTAGTTAAGGAAACTGTTTCTGTACTTGTTTCATTTAAATTAAGATGGTTAAAAACAGTGTTTTTCGTCTGCATAGTAAAGTGTCAAAGTTGTATTAAGTCAATGTTCAGTTGTAAACTTTTGAAAGAACAACCATAACGTTTTGTTCAGAGTTACGAACATTTCATAGTTATGAACAACCTCCGTTCCCGAAGTGTTCGTAACTGAGATTCTACTGTAGTTGGCTTATGAGTCTCATTTGATGTTAGTAATTTTTCTCCATAGTGTCAGGAGTTTCTAATTCATCTTCCTAGCTGAAGTTGTATAGTAGAATGACAAAGACAATTCCCGTACCCAGTGTTAAATGATGTATCCATATGTTTGATGTTTAATTTTCATTGCTCCTCAAGAAGATATATGGAACGCAGGAGCAGATTAGATATTGGCTGACTATTTCAAAGCAGTGTCTAGTAATTCGATTTCAAAATGTCTTAACTTCAAGGCATTCCCACAATATTGAGTAAAACCTTCCTACTCTATTACAGTCTCATTAAGCTGGGGTTGAGTTACCTGTTCTATTTGCTCTGTACTGCATTAGGTAGGTACTGTGTAGAATCTGGTTCTGAGTTAAGAGATGTGCCTATTGACGTTTCACCATACCAGTATTTTCCCAAGTTTAGCATAAGTATTGCTTTCCAAGCATCAGTGTGGATCTTATTGGAGAGAGAAGAGTAGTCCTAGACAATATTAGTGGAGTATGAGAATATGCATAGATGGGTCTGGAGGTTCACAGGTTGTTGTTGTCATGGCCTTGAGAATGCATCTGTAGTATTATCTGTGTCCCTGACTACATCCTGTTCTGTTTGAACATGTTAGATCTTTCCTGGGCTGTTCCCATAGACTCTGATGTTGTATCATGGCAGATGCTGCTTATATTAAACACCACATGCTCAGCATTTCAGTGTTTCTGCATCTCTGAAGATTGTATGCTCATAAGTTGCTTTGCTTCCGGAGTACAAATATATTTAAATGTTAATTGTTGTAAAGTGAATTTAGTGACAGGTTAACAAGCTTGGAGACTGAAGGCTTCCTTTCCTGCACAGAATAGATGCCACAGGGACAGCAGCATGGCAAGCTTCCCCCACATGGCATCCTGTCAGCGTACTACAGCCTTGATCTAGAGTGACACCACCAGTAAGGGTGAAAGGAAACATTCATTGTCTTTGGTGCCTCTGCTGAAACTGCCAGCATAGTTGCCAGCTGTGTTAGGATTTTGATGTTGGAAATTGGACCGACACAAATAACTTCATTTGACCAGGCCACTGAACAGCCAGCATATAGCAATGCCTTTTGGCCACTGTTAAACAAAGCCACATTTGAACCTGGTCCCTAGGACCTAAAGGTTTATATTCCTGTAACAGGCTGGCTGTGTTAGCAGATCTTTGTGGTACTGAGGAATGCTAAGAGGGTTCTGCTGACTCAGACACACACAGCTACAGGAGTCAGCTCTCTAGAGTGAGGATCTAGGGTGGTGGCTGAGCAGCCTGTAGAGAGGAACCCTAGGAGCAGCCAAAGCTGGGAGAAGGTTTGAGTAAACTTGGTCCTGTTGAAAAATTTGCATGTCGGTAAAACTAAAGCGTTTGGACCCTATGCAGTGAGTGGACTGTGTAAGAGCAGGTTGAGAAAGTCCTCTCTTAAAAAGCCTCTGAGCCATCTCGGCTTCCTGAATATTTAAGAAAATGGCCTTGTTTATCCGCCTCTCCTGGGTTAGTCCTGGCTGACTTCTCTGAAATTGCCACAATTATTTTGTTTTGTTCCATACAGGGATGCCATATGGCAGCCGGGAGAATTCCCTTCTTTACTCAGAGATTCCCAAAAAGATACGGAAAGAGGCCCTGCTACTCTTGTCATGGAAACAGATGCTGGATCACTTTCAGGTGAGGAGATGCAACATACTCTTTGCTGTGGTGGTGCACAGGGACCCAGGCTGACGGTAGGATGTTGGAGTGGTAGCTGGTATGTTGGGTACCACTCTGTTGGACTGTTGGAGTTCAGTGAAGTGGCATGTAAGGCAGGAACAAGGGGCAGGGGTTGATGCTGTGGGCATGGCACTGATAGAGTGCTGTGTAGGAAGATGTCTTCCCAGGTAATACGGGAGAGTGGCTGGTGTGCCAGGCATGGGGCTGGCAGTGAGAGCATGGAATAGCAGCTGGCAGGCCAAGGACAGGTTTTACACTCTACCTAAGTCTCTTGTTGCCTGCAGTCTGCCTGCAGTCATAAACCAGTAAAATAAACTGGTGGGAGAATAGACCAGAGCTCTGGCTGTCTTGGCCAGACTCCCCACACCTGCCCTCCCTCCATTTGCACATTGATTATCATGTTATTTTTGATAACTTCGTGCTTTTATCAAATGTGTGGAATAAGGTTCAGTCTGCTGCCTGCATTAGAATCATAGAAGATCAGGGTTGGAAGGGACCTCAGGAGGTCATCTAGTCCAACCCCCTGCTCAAAGCAGGACCAATCCCCAATTTTTGCCCCATATCCCTAAATGGCTCCCTCAAGGATTGAACTCACAAGCCTGGGTTTAGCAAGCCAATGCTCAAACCACTGAGCTATCTGACCCCCCCCATTCTAAACATACATTGCCAATTAGACTCTCATAAACCAGATTGAATTGGATCTTCTCAGAGTCCCCTTGAAACTAACTCAAGATTCCTGGAAGCTGTATATGAGAGGACATGGATAATATCATTAGGTTAATTGGCTGCTCCTAATTTGCATAAAAAAGCAGCAGCTCTTCCTCAGTTTTAAGGTGGAGGTGCCACTCATGGACTATAGGTCCAAGTCTTTGGCTCAGATCTAGATGGGGACATTGCAATTGGAAGGTCATGGGGGTGTAGCCTTCATGGACCATGCTTTCACACTAAAGATGGCCATGCTGTCGTACTGCTGGCTGCATTTGGCTAGTGGGTTATAGTCTGGCCACTCCTGGATTAGATGGTCTCATTAATAAAGCATTGCCATTCCTTCAGACCTGCATATTGTCTCTCTGTCGTTCGCAACCAGGCAACCCCTCACCATGGAATGTACTCTAGGGAAGAAGAACTCCTGAGGGAACGCAAGCGTCTCGGGGTCTTTGGAATCACTTCCTACGATTTCCACAGCAAGAGTGGCCTCTTTCTTTTCCAGGCCAGCAACAGCCTCTTCCACTGTCGAGATGGGGGACAGAATGGCTTCATGGTGGGTCCACTAATGGCTCTGTGGGAGGTTTGAGGGATTCTGCAGCTCAGCGTGGTGTTCCCATAGTGAATACCTCTTGAGTTGGACCTTGGCTCTGGTCTGCCATCAAGTCTTGTTTTCTTGGTCTTGGTTCCCTCGTGGGTGGGCTGGATCTATCAAGAAGTTTGTGCCTTTGTTTGAAGCTGAAAGCAGAATAGGGGCACATCCTGTGCCTTATTTCCCCAGGTGTCTCCAATGAAACCCCTGGAGATCAAGACCCAGTGCACGGGACCTCGAATGGATCCCAAGATCTGCCCAGCCGACCCCTCCGTCTTTTCATTCATCAATAACAATGACCTGTGGGTAGCAAATATTGAGACGGGAGAGGAGAGACGGATGACTTATTGCCATAAAGGTAACCGGAACTGCTCCTCCACATCTGGAGGAGAATCACCTCTTAGACCAAGAGTCTGACTAGAAGGATTTACTCCTGTTGCCCTTTTTTTTTTTTTTTTTTTTCTTTCCATCTGAGTCCCATTCCCTTTCTGGATCAGTCTTTCCATTAACTTCAACCGCTCTCTGCTCTTTTTCCTTTGCAGGTTTATCCAATGTGTTAGATGACCCCAAATCGGCAGGTGTAGCCACATTTGTCATTCAGGAAGAGTTTGATCGGTTCACAGGGTACTGGTGGTGCCCCACAGCCACCCTAGAAGGTCAGTGTTCTGCTTAGCCCTGGAGAGACGGAGCTGCATTTGTAGCATAATTATTGGCCCCTTTAAGGTGCTGAGTTCCAGGTCATTCATTAGGGGCTGTGTGCTGGTAAATATTTGTGTGAATAGTTAGGTGCTGCATGATTCTAAGGGAGATGTGGAAAACCAGTAGGCCCAGTATGTGCTGCTGTGGGAGTCCTGGCAAGTCGACACAGTTGGGGAAACTGCGTGAAGGCAAACAGGCCTACCTTGTTTTATCCTAGGTTCAGAGGGTTGGAAAACGCTGCGGATCTTGTATGAGGAAGTGGATGAGTCAGAGGTGGAGATAATTCATGTTCCTTCACCTGCCCTGGAGGAGAGAAAAACAGATTCCTATCGGTACCCCAGGACAGGTCAGTGAGGTGCAAGAGTGTGACTAATGCAGCTGCTGCCTCATGCGGGCTGAAGCATCATCATCTGTGCTATTGACTTTGCATTATTAATCTAGATACTTACCAGGATGATAAATATTCAGGACAGTCTCCAAATCTGTCAGCACAAAGGTCATTACAGGAAGGACAGCTAAAGTCCAATTTAAATAAAGGGATTGCTGTTACGAGATGGAGGGTATTCCTTTGTCACACTGCTGAATGCACTTGGAATCCCACCTTCTCCATGCTGGGAATGCTTGCTCATGCATTCATTCGCATGGGCAGGCATACTTCTCC